ATATATATACACATATCCCGGTGCACGTAGGATCGCTTATCTCCTCGTAGGCAATCGGAGTAAGGAAGGATGCACGAGCGAATCGTCAAACTTAGGTGGCTGATGATGATGTATACTCGATAGCGTCGAGCAGCTTACAAATGAGCGACACAACTTATAAGTATACAAGACTGTATGGGACGCGAGCCAACAAGTGTTTCCATGTACATATATATGTATAAAAGTAAGAACGGAGTGATTGAACGGCCTTGTAACAAATAGGGTACGTACGTGCAAATAATCCAATAAATCTTTGTATCGGAGGCCTTTGGGCCCGGCTCATCTTCCGCGAGGACCTTGACACCGCGCACGCCTTTGTACAACGTATATGTATATTTATTTTGCGTCCACATATTTTATATANTGTATTTAACAAAAAAATATAAAAAAAAAGCTGTTCGAGCAGAAGACTGAAGCAGCGAGAGCTATGAAAAATTGTAAAAACTTTTATTTGCATTACTTACTGTAAGGAATAATGTCCTTTTGAAACTTGACGTCAGACATTGAATACAATAAAATGAAGTTTGATGCAAAAACATGTATAAAAAGAAAAACGTAAAAAAAGTGAAAATTTTTCGAAACGAACAAGTTTAAATGAAGATTTTTGATGTTCAATTGAATTTGCACTTTGAAAAATCCATTTCCGGATGCTGTTCCATGAACCTGAAAATAAAACCAGCAACGTTGAATGCATTTTGTACACTACCGATGCGATGGATCGGATAGGGTGTCGAACAGAACTCACTTTTTGATGACATCCTGTTTCTTTTGTTCTTCGGACGTCGGCAAACCGAGCTCCTTCTGTCGTTGGTCGTACATCATTTTTTCAACGAGACCTCGCGTCTCACCGTCCAAATCGGAGAGTTTGCTCGGCTCTGGATTGACCTTTTTCGTACTAATCTCGGGGTCGCTGGTCACAACGTGAGACCACCACTGCATCTTGTTCACCTACAGACAACGTTTGTCCGTTACAGGTACTCGAAGAGCGGATTGTACGTTTGATTAAAAAAAAAAAAAAAAAAAAAAAAAAAAAAAAAAGAAAATCCTATACCTTCTCGAGATTGATGAGTAAAACTTTGCCATCCTCGATGACCCAAGTCGACTCCTCGAGTTTGACTTCGTGGGGAAACTCGCCGTCGATTATCGCCGCCTGTCCTTTGATGCCGCACGTCAAGTGCTTCTTTGTTATGGACACTTGGACATCCCTGGGTCGCACGCTGAAGTTTACCTTTAGCGGCACTCTTATCTGCAAGCAAGGGTAATAAAAAAAAAAAAAAAAAAAAAAAAAAAAAAAAAAAATTCAATGTTGAGCAAAGTTTTCATTTCCATGGTGGTGATTAACGCGCGTGTCGGAGATCAAATCTACAGGTAAAGACGAGGACGAGACCGTGGGCGGCTGGTTCGGCGGCCACTACGGAAAATGGAGCAAATGGTCAGAGTGCACCAAGTCTTGCACCACCCACCGACGCAGGTGACATTTTCACCGTTTCTATTATTATTTCCGTGGCAACATTTTTCATTACGTATACAGTGTGTCCGTAACGGTTGTGCGATTTACGCAGGTGGTGCAGGATGCCCGGCTTTTGCTGGAAGGAAGTCATTCGCCAAAGCGCCTACTGTTACGTCGAGGGGAGTTACTGTCAAAAATGGATCAGTAGGATAATTCGCAATAATTACGAGGACGCGAGTGGCGGTGAGTCCCAGGGGATTTTTTGTTTGTTTATTTATCCACCGGAGCGTAAATCGCAAGTATTTGTTTATTGAATTTGTCGGTAGATCGTTACGATCTAAGCTTGAATGGGATAGAAAATTCGACCACCAAAGAAGAAAATAACTGGAAGTGCGGGGTGTCGAGGAAAAATTCGGGACTGGCTTACTTAACGAGGATCATTGGTGGCCGTCCCACGGCACCCGGCAGCTGGCCTTGGCAAGTTGCAGTCTTGAATCGATACGGAGTAANAAAAAAAAAAAAAAAAAAAAAAAAAAAAACGATTCGCGCGGAGATGAGTAATTAAAATAATAGACGCGTGTACCGTGCCTCGATGAGAATAAACACGAGAGCGCATTGGCGATCGGCTATACTTTGACTCGAAAAGGAAAAAAAAATTAGTCCGTGGACGAGTTAGAGGCGCGCTTGAGGCCGCGCTTCGCGTGATGTACATTTTATATGCGCGTATAAATATATAGATATACAGTTGTGATGCGCGTCGGGATACATTCTCATATAAAGGTATATATTATACGGAGAGACAAAAACGTAACGTCTCTCTCTCTCTCTCTTGTAACTGGCAACGGTGGGACGCCTACCTCGCGGTTGTACTTAGTAAAGGATAATAACGACAATGAATCTCGCATCGCCTTGAAAACGCATAGAATTAATGCCTGTAATTTTCACACAGCCGCACAGAGAAGAATCGGCCGTTGCTCATAATTTACGCGTCCTTACGGTCGCTGCTACTGCTGGTTTACAAGTATATATGTATATGCTTCGGCGACGGATATTTTATGTAGGAGAGAAAAGCCACGTGTCTTTCTTTTTTTTTTTTTTTTTTTTTTTTTTTAAGTACACCCATCGACGCCGACGAGCCTCTACAGGCATCCCATCGCGACCCGTAACGCCGATTAATCGTCCCTCCCGATCATCGCCGATTCACACGTAAGTATATGTCTGTCCATAGTCACATCACCGGTGCACACTCTCGAGAATCGTCTATAAGATTCCTCCTTTTTTTTTCCCAGACATTGACTACTTATATCCTCGTCATTTTTAATCGTCCTGTACTTTGTTTAAATCGGTAAGGTGTGTACCAAGGGGTGTGTCGATTATTATACATGTTACATGTGTGTGCGCGCTTACGCAACATAATGTAGTAAATCTCTATTGGGGCAAATTGGTGTGAGCTACAGTGCCAAAAAACGAGGGACACGGGTATTATATATATATTATACTGTCGGGTGTCTGATCGGCGTGACTTGTATAACAATGGGAGGCGCGAGCGATGAGCGTGTCGCGATTTTCGGACGCTCGAGGATTTACGTACAGCCTTGCATTAGCCTCTCTTTTGTTTTGTTTCTGTATATACTGAACAAAGTTCGCATACTGTACGTAGATGTATATGAATGAAAGGAAAAAAAGAATTTAACTATAAACTCGACCTCCTGATTCTTTTTTTTTTTTTTTTCTCTCTCTTTGTATACGAGTTTGTCTATTGTCTTACCCTTGGAAATTTTCATTCTTACTTAAATTCGACCGACCGGATGCTCCCTTTGAAAGGCTCGATCTTGTTAGGCCTTTTGACCATAAAAATAAAAAAATAAAAAAGTAATATTTATGACATTAAAACAATGGATGCTGCTGGACCGTATCTATACGGAACAAAGAAGCCTTTTTCCGTAGGAAAACTAGAAGATGTACGTATAGATACGCGTAAGTAAAGACGCGAGCACGTCGGCACATGTGCTGCGAACAATGTATCGATACGTATACATCCTATACATATATACGTGACTTTCCCTCCCAGCATCGGAGAGGGTACAGGTATACCCATCATGTGTAGGTATACGTATACGCGAGAGGAGACCTTGATCTTGTAACGCGCGTCTTTCGCTCATTGAATATATATATATATATGTGCATTTAATCATAGGTGTTTTACGTATATACATAAATATGGTATAAGATACGCGCAAAACACGGGATGGATCTGGATGTAAGTACGTAATTCACGACTCTCTGCGCGTATACAAGTACGTAAGCAGGTATGGGTATTTTTATTTTGTGGCTCAGCGCTTGGATTTGATTTTGCTATGCATTGTAAGTATTTTTACAGTAAGTATACGTTTAGAGGAAAAAAAAAAATGATCTACCAATTAACTCGAGTTGTTTTTGTTTGCACCGGTCCTTTTCTCGTCTCTTTTTTTTTTTTTTTTTTTTTTTTTTGGCTTTGATTTATGATCAATGAATGACCCTTCAGGCAAACTCCCAGATGATGTATTTCAAACGTTTTTAGTGGGATGTATCCGTTACCATCGCCCGACGGAAAATTTCTCGGTTGATTAATGCGACGCGCAAAGCCATATCCAATCCGTTAAAAAACCAACAAAACAACGGCAGTTTGCGTCGAAATGTCTGCATATATTTAATGTACGTGTGACATTATAGGTATATGGGACATAATTATATTGAAGAAACAAAGAGCTGAAGGATATAGAGACTGTATACTTATTTATTTATATAATACACGCAGGCCCGTAGACACGCGCAGAACGAGGAATGTCAAAATAAAATTGAAATAAAGCATCGGTTAGGTCCCCGAGTTTTAGGGGAAATGCCGCGGCGATGATTCGACACGCGGGGGAATTCAATGTCACGACGTACACGTATAAGTATAATACACGTTTCCTTTTCTTTTCTTTTTTTTTGGGCTCTGCGGTGGTTCTTTGTAAATCGTCGCGGCCGTTCGTCCCGACGTAACTGCATGCAGCATATAGGCCACCGCCGTTGCCAATGAACTTCGTGTGACGATGCTTGCACAGCTAATATATACATGTACCTAACATCAAACAAGTGGCTGAATTTTTATAGAAAAAAAAATAAATAAATAAAATAAAACAAACGAAGATGCTATCGCCAGAACGAAAAGTTTAATTACAGCATAACTTTTGCATCTTTAGAGTTGGCAAGTAAATGAATGTGGAAATTCCCCCTTTAAATGGGTCTATTGAACGACCATGCGTATGCGGTACTTTTTTTTGTTCTACCCTGCAAAGGTCAGTGGGAAGCCACACCCGAGGCTTTTACCACGCGGGTATATATATGAAAAATCCTCTACATCTGTAGCATCTGGATGTACACCTCAAAGTCAAACAACGAGGGAAAATCTAAGCATTTTCCCAACGCCCGAGCAAGTACAAGTATACCATGTAACGCTGGATCGCTCGAGTCAATGATGGTAACGCGGGAGCCTTCCCCATCTGCCAAAGGTTGCGTAATGAAG